GGAACGTGGGCATTGCATTCTCCACCAACTCATCGGTCTACGATGCTGCTTTCTTATGATGGTGACTTCTGCGTAGACTTGTCACCATACTGCTCTTCTGAACAATGGTCATTGTAAAGATATGATAAATGTCACCAACGACCCTTTTGCCAAGTGTGTAAACTGTAAAGCAAGTTGCTTCGCCACAGTAGGCGACTTTTTTCTAATGCTTTGTCTGCAGGAATGGATGCTGCTAATGGATGGCATTATTGGAACCTTTCTAGTTTTAGTGTCAGAGCCACATCAACCGAAGATGCGATTCTCACATCGTCGTTGAACTCTAGTCCTTAGTTTATATAATTGTCTTTTTAAAAAACAAGATGCATATTTTTAGTCTGAGTATTGACCTTGGATGCACATAAAGGTGGTATGATTTGTATGCAACAAGCACATCTTAGAGGGATGACTCAAGTATTATCTCTAAAAATTCTGATGGAAGATCTAACTTTCGCTGAGATGTGCCACGACGTCGAATCTAGGAATGGAGATAAGACGTGCACGAGTGTTAGCTGTTTCAACGAATTTGATCACATTGACAATATAAACAAAATTGTCAATGGGAACCAAACTTAAACTCAGAACAAACCACAAGTTTACTTCGCTCTGAATTATACAATGCACACAACGTGAATAATGATCTAAACATGATGCAAAATTATACATATCTTTTTTTTACAAGACTTTGACATGCAAAAGCCCATTTCAGTAGAAATGAAACTGGAGAAAAGCCTGTGTTCTTATTTTATCATTATTGTTCATACATCTCAAGAGCAAATCTACAGCGTGCAGGTCCGATGGCAATATCTTCGGCTTCTACTCAACAATGTAACACAAACGTGAGTTTGTGTGTATCAAAATCATCCGTAAAGTATCACTTTTAAATAAGTAGAAAATGTTGTGGGAATGCACCAAAAGCCGACCGACACCTCGTCCAACTGACATTCATCTGACTCTATACTCGCGTGTGTTTAACGTGCATCGAACTATGTAAATTATTAAATAAACAATATATGTATACACAGAGGGATTCTTTTATTCACTGTCAGACCGATTCACAACATGCGAATCAACAGGACTTTAACTTTGTGTACAATTTTACTTTTTTGCATTTGTTTTCCCCTTAATTTATTAGCAACAAGCTGCCTCCCTCCCACTGTGTTTGCTCTTGGAATCAAGATAGAGTTCTTGATGTTCACCTAGCTGCGAACGTGTGTCCGGTCACTCCCTCCGCTCCATAATGGATGCCGACATCTTCTGATGTAGGGAGAGCAGATTTCTCCAAAATCCGATTGTCCATCATCTCGTGTATGAAAGCAAGCGTGAACAAGTCACCAGCAGCAACATGCAAACCAGCAAAAGGAGATATTCCACCATCCAAGCCTGGACTTGGGTGGCAGATTCTTATTTTGAGTTGAATCTCACACGACGACGTGCACCAAATTGTCAGCAGCAGCTTGGGGCTGGAATTTTCGCAATTCCCTCAGAGGGGTGAGACTATTTTCATGGTGACTTGGATGTGAATTTCGAAAAAGCTTGTTTATTCATGTTCGCCGACCCTTTTACAAGCTCGAGTGGACGCCCCCTACTGCATTTGATATTGTTTATTCTAGCGCCGATCATGTTTAAAAGTCGAAGGTTTATAGACGGCGGAGGTGTTATTACTATTGGTTGGATGATGAAGACAGGTGGATCTGGACACTCCATGGTAATTCCTTTCTGTCGCTCCCTAGATTTTCGTCTTTATGATATTGATGTGTGTCAACAAGTGGCATGACCTGATGGGACATTTGCAAACACCATGATGAATTTCAAAATCGCAGCACATTTAAATTCAAACCTTGTGAGGTTTTGTGCCCTTGGTGAATTGATCATTCAATCTCACAAAAGAAAACTCACACATTAACTCCATGTTATTTTGTAGAGTAACATGAACTTTAAGATCTGCAAGGCATGATAGAACCTGCATGTGTACCCTTGAGATTTTTCCTTGTCTTCATAAATAAGTCTTTAAAGTCACATGTTTTCATGTTCGGAGGGATATTTCCCAATATGAAAACTTCTTTAGCTTTTGCTTGCTTATTTTTAAATGAAATTTGATTCCCAGACCAATATCATCATACTAGATGGTGCATGCATGATCAAATCACAAGTTTTTCAATCATATTATGAGCTTATTTTTTTAAGGTAGAAATTCAAAACTTGTGTAGTGTTCACGGCACGAAAAATTGGCAGAGTAATTTATCTAACGTTTACTTTTGATAGCCAAACCATACATGAGGAGGTCTAATTTTCTCTTTTCAACTTGGGGCCATGATATACTTCACGTCGAGATACAAGATAGACTAATACGTTCAACTTCATATCCTATAATATCTAGAAAATAGTCATCTATAAGATAAGGAGTGCAAATATAAATAAGATACACAAGTTTTAATGCAAGAATTTAGCTCCCGTTACTCCACCACAAGGATCAAGGATAGCAATGGATGTTCAACGAAGGGATGTATTTTCGGACTCAGTCACTCAACTAAAATATTTATATCACTTGAACCTGTTTGATGAAGCCATTGTCAACATAGTCTTGATAATATTGTCTTGACAACGTATTGCTAATTTTAAGTGCAAGTGGATGTCATGTTTCATTCCATAGTCTTTATCCTTGATCAGGTACCCATATTCGATTGCATGTAACATGCAATCGAATATGCACAGCGAAGCATATGAAAAAGAAGTTCAGCAAATGTTACAGTTAGTTTCTGCATCGAATAGACTGATTATTTTGACAATGCATCCGATGTGGGTCAGTCGCACGTACATACAACTGATGATGAAACATGGGTGGAAAATTTTGACCAAGAGAATGAAAAATGCCCATAGCTAGAAACTTGAGCTTCTATGACATACTCCATTCTTGTCGTTGCGTTCAATGGAATCAAGTACGAGTGAGACACTATGTTTGATGTCACCTTCAAGACCTCATACTCAAACATTAAAATCTTTTATGAAGGTCTCGATACAATGTTTGAATTAGCCATGGTTGTGCTCAAGATTCAACAAGAGCAATTAAGATCGCATTTTCCAAATTTTGAATATATGCTTCCAACGCCGACAGGATTGGCTCGAACATCATCAAGACTTAAACTGTCATAGCTAAGTGAGTGGACGAAGTCTAACTTGTCATAGGATTCGTTAGGATATAATTTCAGGCACCAAGAATAAAGACCAGTCAAATGAACCCCATAACAACACATGAAGCTAGTGGGACATGTAAGCAAGCCAAGTATCCATATTGTCCAGATCTCATTAAAAGTGTCATTTTAGTACAAAAATGACACCTTTGTCACAATTAAAATTGGGCCATGACACAATTAAGTTTTTTTTTTTTTCTTTCATTCTTTGGCTAAGGCAAAAGTTTTCTATTATTCGCAAGCATTGCCTAAAGGTTACGGAGTGCTCGGCTCACAACGGATGAATGTTGGTTTCCCAAGCAAGCAATAGACCGCATTGCAGTCCGTAGATGAGTGGAAAGAGAATCCTTGTATTTGTGTTTTGAGTCGATTGTGGACAGAAATCAAAATAATGCATTATCACTCGATGGATGTAATTTTCGAAAGAAAAGATACAGCTTGAAAGTTTTTTAAAATTATAATGTAAGAATATTTTGGTCCTGAAACCAAGTTTTCCTCCAGTCCTAGGATGGAAGACACGGGATGTTACTCATCTTCAACTAAGATTTTGAGGAGTAATACAGTTCACGTCTAGTGGATTTTGGAATTTGGCACTATTCTGCTGAAGTCTAATATCCTCATGGTTAGTATCAAGTACTTTGAACTCATTTCTTTTCAAAGGACTAGCTCTCTGTGCTTTGAGTATACTCACGGTGAATAATCATGGACTTGTTCATGTACAGCCACAACGTAGAAACAACTCTGCTTGCATATCTCGTGAAATAATTTCAATCTCTTATGGTTTCAAGACTGCCACAGAATACAAATGCCACTTTGAAGAAATTTTGGGTGCCACAATTAAGTAAAAGGTGGCAAAAGTGGCAAATGCCACTTTTAATGAGGTCTGATATTGTCACTTTCATGCAAGATTAGACCAGTTCTAATCTTGGGGTTATTACGATGTTTAAGTTGATGTTTCCGACCGAGAGAGTATTTGCCCCATAGACTTGAAAGTCAGACCGAAGACCAACATCTAGATCTAAGAATTACATCATACCTAAGGATGAAAGCACAACATGTTGATTCTTTCAACTTGTTAGTTACGAGTTACAAACTAAAACTGTCACCCCTATCCAAAGTCAACCATAGCATGGCAACGTGGAAAAGAAGTGCAGTGTAAGACACAGACAGTGGTAACATGATGTCAAAGAAGCCAATAAACCACGAGAAACTGAAGGGGAGAAATCACTTCATTAAGTTATTACCGAACGCAATTATTCCATGAACACCGGCTATCCCAGGCTACCAGCGAATATCCCCCGAACCCTCCGGTGGCCAACCGGCGCATGGAGGAGTCAATGCATGCACCGGCCTACTCAAGTGACAACTTTCATCCTCAAACCAGCCATAGAGCACAAACCGGCTACAGGCAGTAACATCCTCCGATTCTGTGGAAGGTAACAGAAACTGCCATTGGCGCGTGGCCGAAGTCTGGCCGCCGCGTGCTCCGGGGACCGTCTTGGGAGTCCGAGCCCAGTTTCGCGGTCCTTAGCAAGGGACTTTGACCTGAAATACCTCACAGATAGGACCGGGTCTCGACACGGGACCTCTGCGTGGCCCGGTCGCTAAAGGCGACGAGGCCGAGAAAAAGCGCCGGGGACCAATGGGCTGAGGCTTCTGGAAGTGAGTCTGCTCAGTTGAACCACGTGCTGGCTTATTCTAAGGCTCTCGGTAGGCCGAAAAGGTCAAAGCGTCTGGGACGCTGGAGCCCTTGGGACGGTCCCCCGACGTATGCGAAGGCTCGCGGCCTGTGAAAGAGCCGGGGGCCTTGCATCCAGATTGGGCATACAGAGTCATTTCAGACTACAGAGCTCTTGTTGACTCTCGTGTGAGAGACGAGAGACGAGCGCTCTCAAGGAGAAGACATCAGCCTCGTCCTAGCGATTGTTTGTATGCTTTTCGGATCGAGACGCTGTTTATTGTACATGTTGCAAATAGGAAATCCTTGCGGTCGTCTGGAATACCCACTCCTGACGTTCGATTGATTGAAGATCTTGACATCGTTTCTGAGGAGTGCAAATTGACTTCGAACAATTTTGAGGTACGAGTGATTGCCCGCTGTTTCGATTGTGTGGTCTGTGGAATTTGGGAGGGAGAGCTTTGTGTCATCGAGGAGCTTGATGTGAAGGCTTCGCGTCGAGGGGTCGGCTTCTTAGCATTGCACTCGTAGACTGGAGCTCTGAAGAGCTGATTTCGATGTTTAAGTGTCGTAGTTTCGATGGGAACTCAGTGAGGCCCAGGTGAAGGAGCAGGTGGATCTCTCGGTTCAGCAAGAGTGCAGTGATGTGTAGGCCGAAAGGAGTATGTTGTTTATTCTCATGGGGCTTCATTTCTAGGGCTTGATCCGGCGCTTTTGTTCCAGCGGAGTCTGCTCATCGTATAGGGTTCAGATGCCTAGAGCTTTTACTGGGAATAGTAGACGTTGACCTTGATGTTGCGATGCATTTGTGTCCAGAAATTTGCTGAAAACAGAAAATCGCCATGGCTTTTGCTTTGGCGAATGCGTTCTGCAATGACCAAGGGATTGAACAAGCAGTGGAGCGATGTCCATTTTTGAGGAATATTGCGAAGCCTACGATTTTCGCTTCTACTTCATTCGTCGTCCCCACTGTGGTGAGTCTGTCTCCCTTCGTTTTGAAGCTGAGAAGCTGTTCGGGCTGGAATCGATTTGTTGCTATAAGAGACCTACTTTGATTGAACAAGCATTGCATGTCTTAAACACCAGACTCCTCTTCTGGTAATGTATGGTGCAGTCCCGTAGTGTCCAAGTTTTGAGTGATTGCATGAGACTGGATGTAGAGAGAAATTCCGCTGTTGAAGTTATAAAAAGTTGTGCGGTCAAAGATGGAGAGAGTGTTTTGCCTGCGTGTTCTGTCTAGAAGTCTCTGGGCACATCGATTGAGTGAAGTTGATGACATATCTTTGGTTAGAGCAAAGCGGACATATCTCGAAGTAGTGGGTCGAAGCAGTTTTCGCATCCCCTCTGCCTTGTAATCTTTATCCATATCCGTGTTATCTGGTTTGATACCTGCACTGCATTATTTGTAGTTGTTTGTTAACACTTATCTCGAGGACCCTGAGTTTGTCCACTGGACTGTATTGTTGATATCCAACCATGTGTTGCTTGTTTTCAGTCTAAGGGAGTGAAGGGACCAATATTTGAAGATGGCCCCAATTTCGATACAATGTTCCGACTCTTCCATGGTCGAGATGGAGTAGTGCCACTACCTGAAAGACAGACATCTGATGCTGGTTCCTATGCATCTTCTCCATCAACAAATGTTTCATTCAACCCTTTGGCTGCATGCGCAGCGTCCATTAGCATGTCATTTGGCAGTGGAGCAGGACCCTTTGGCTTTGACTCCTTCATGGCCGGAAAGGTCAACAAGCCTCTTGGCAAGAAACAGAAGCCTAAGAAGAAGGAGCAGAAACCAGAACCCTCTTCAAATGTACGTCTCATCACCTGATTTTCCATCACCTTCCGACCTTGTTCTGCTGTTGCTTTTACTTCTTCTTGGATTAGAAACTTAATTGTGAGTTGCTTGATCGTCACAGGAAAAAACACATGAAATGGGCAGTGAATGGCTTACAACTGGCAACTGTCCGATTGCTAAGTCCTACCGTGCAATTGGTGGCGTTCTACCTTTGGTGACGAAAGCTTTGAAGCTTCCAGCCAACATGAAGTACACATGCCCTCCAGCGATTGTTGCAGCAAGGAAAGCTTTGAATCAAACTACTGCTGTAAAGGCCCTGCGACCACAAGCGCTTCCAACAAAAGTACTGGCGATCGGTTGCTTTGGAATGATGCTGAACATTCCCTTAGGTATGTGGAGGGAGCATACGGTGAAGTTTTCGCCTCAATGGATTCTTGCCGTTCATGCGACAGTGCCGTTCATTGCCATGCTAAGGAAAGCTGTCGTTATGCCAAAATACGCCATGGCCTTTACAATTGGATCTGCGGTTCTTGGGCAAGCTCTCGGAGCCCGTGCCGAGAGGGCACGTTTGTTAGCGATCAAAGCAGCAGCCGTTGACAAGGTCGACCAAGGTTGTGAAAAGGATGTGCTGTTGAGCGACTCCGTTTCGCCGTCTTTGGTCTTAAACGTTGACCAAGCCTGTGCAAAAGATCTTTTTGCGAGGGACTCAGTTACAACCACCTCGGGGATGAACACCCTTAACACATCAGCACAAGCTGTGTCGGTTTGTTAAGGCATACATCAATGATTGTTTGAACGCTCAAGATGCACAGTCTTCTCCTCCTGCGTATTCATGAAGTTGGTAGCTTGTGCAGCTTTAATTAGTTTACCTGATTCTAGCTCTTCTAGAGGTAGATCTTCATTTGTGCCTTGGACCTGGCTGCATATGGTGTTGTTGTAATCTGGCGAGTCTTATTGGTCTTCCATATCTGTTGCTTTATGGTTGTTCAGTAAGCTCATCTCTCTGGAACATTTAGGAGCTCCTAGAGCTCAAGGGTCGGGCACTAAATAAAAAAGTTTCTCAAGACAATAAAGGTGATCTTGAGCTGATTGCAACAACATTCGCTGCTGTCTTTAGACGCCAACACCGGAACTGACCGAATCCTATCAGTATAGCTTTTAGTCCATTGGTAGGTGCATGTATATACTTTAGCTCAAGAGCTAGCACAGGTTTCTTGACTTCGGAGATACGTTAGATTTGGGATTTGGCTCAACATTTATTCCTTGTTGCAACCATGCCGTCACTGGTTTAGTTACCGAATTTCAGGTAGGAAGGTTGTAAATTTGCAACATACACGTGAGCAATTGGACACTCGGTGAGCAATTGGACACTCGTGTAGTTGATAGTGGAGACCTTTGAAGGTCTTTGAGCGTTTCTGGGATTTCTTGGTACTCATGTTGTTCGTTGTTGTCAGTTTTCTGGGTTTCTGCGTTTTTTTACAGTAAGTCTTCAATGAATCAACATAGAAAATGCACCCTCTGTCGAACTAGCTGCTTTCAAGGAAGCAGAAGCCATACAGGTGAAAGGGCTGGTCATAAACTGGATCATGGCATGTCTATCAAATTTGGAAAAACTCAAGGTTGTCTACAACAAGGGTGTGTACCACAGCAAACCACCAGAGCTATACAGCTAGACTACAGCAAAGCAGTCCAGCTTTGTGCAATACTGTCTTCAATGATTCTAAAACGTCCCAACCATCTGCACTGCTTGTAATACCGAATGAAAATAAATCCAAACCCGGCACATGTAAAGCAGCTATTATATCTGCCACTGTTCGGTAGTGCCAGGTAAGATGAAAATTGTATCTCAATCGTATAACATCGACACGTGGCTTAAAATGTGGCATCCACGCCTGGGGATTTTTGTCACGACATGACGGTGAGGACGTGAGACATCGTTTCATGTGCTATATACCATGTGAGTTCTTGGAGTGAAACAGTGAGTTCTTAGAGTGAAAATATGAAGAGTATACACTAAGTAACACGAAAGTAATCATAGCAGCACACTCAACCGTGAAGCGCGTTGGACATAGAAGCGAGAAGAAGTCTAATTGCTTCGTGGACATGAGTTCAAATCGCTGCGGCCTCACGATCGAACCACATTTGTACACTGACTTCAAATTGGCATGAAGCAGTTTGTCTATACTCGTGTCGGGTTTGTATGTCATCTATGGTGAAACTTTTCATTTCGAAAACTTTGGATTCAGAACACTGACGTAGGTACTCTGGAACCCATCTCCTAGAACTGTGAGCACTATTCTAGTCGTCAATTCATTACTGCAACGTAATATAATCTATTCCATTGCTTCAAGAAGTAGTCAACGGTAGTGACTGTCCAGAAGTAGCGAAGTCTTCACTCTAATGTCAAAGGGTCAAAAGTTAAAAAATAAAATACAATGGAATCTAAAATCCAAATATGAATCTCTAGTTAATGTTAAGTATTAAATAATATATTTCAAATTAAAATTATTCTAAAATTAAAATGTTAATTACATAAAAAATTTAACAAATATATTTTTGATAATTCATGAATTTGAACTATCAAAAAATATTTTAAATAATTATTTTTAGTTAGTAAAAAATAAAATGAAATATATTCAAGATTGAATATATAATTATTTAAATATGAATATTTCTAATATTATATCAAAAAATCGAATGATAATTAATTACATGTCATCGATTTTGAAATTAATTCAAAATTGAATGTGTTAATTAATCTGTCAGTTGGAATCTACACGTTAGTAAATCTTATGTTTATTAGATATATTTCTTATGTCATCAATCTATTATGAAAAAATTAGATAATTTAAAAAAAAATTATCTTTGTTTATGTGATTGAAGTATATATATAAATAAGAATATAACCATTCAAGATATCTCATCTTAAAAATTTATATTTCATATTTGATTTTTTCCTAAACCCTACTATTACGAATATTATGAGTTACATAGTTTTGAATATAATTATAATGGATATAATCAAATCATATCATGTCATGAAAAAAAATTTACTATAAAATAATCTCATTTTATTCATATTAATGTTCCAACTATCTTTTATAGATTCATAAATATGATGTTTCAACCTTTCATTGAGAAGTTTATGAGAAATTTTATAGAGTACTTTTATGTGTACGTGATGTCATTTGCTCTACGTCATGCTCTAATTATTTTCTAAAGATTCATGAATATAATGTTTGAAATTATCATTGGAAAGTTTTTTTAATATTTCATAAATGTTAATGGATGATTTTTATGTGCACATGACAAAGAAGTATACATAATTCTTTGTTAAATCAATATATAGAAAAGTTCACATAGTTTCTTATTGTCTTAGTAAATTCTTATTTATGAGCTTAATGTTGCTAATAGTTTTATATGGAACAAGTGTGGTATCATGGTTGTAAGAAGACAAGTTGGGAAAGTGTATGCAAAAGATATTTCTACAAGAACAATTGGGTGTAAGAAATCAAATTCCATATATTATTCTTCTTGCAAAAACATATTGTGTAGATCTAGAGCATGAAGCTCTATATTTGATCATAATTTATATCAAAAGTCTGAAATATCTTGATGTTTTTCGCCTTCTTTTTCAAGCTTTACATGCCATATGTAGTATAGTGGATGTGGTACTTGGTTTTTGAGATGGAATGTGGCGCAACGCGATTATGATCTATAAGCAATGACATTCCGCAAATGTCTAGTAGAAGTTTTTCAACATTATTTGGAGCAAGCAAAACACCAAGATGCAATTTTATCAATTTCATGTGAATTCTATGTTTGTATACTATACACAAGAATAACCACTTGCAAAAATCTTTACGTATTTACGTCATATAATCGCTAGACATAAAATAGGATCTCATAGGCTTGAAAGTGAGGTAGTACATTGGTTTAATATTGATAAGAATCTACGTATTTGTAAATTATGTGATGATGGGTATATTGAAGATGTAAAGTATGTATTTGTTACTTGTATTAGGTACAAAGAGTTCAGACTTTTTCATAATATACATGCGAAGAATCTCTACTCTTTATTATAATTAGTGTACTTTGATTTAGGTTGTTATATTAGTGACATTATCATTATTTACGATTCTAGTGCTATTGACATTAGTTAGGGATTGATCTTTGGGGTATTTTTCTTTTTTTGTGGTTTGCACTTGTATGGTGTTTTTCAATCTTTTTACCCTTTGGATTCCTTGGACTTGATCTGTTACCATTTGCCATATTTAATATAAGTTTGACGGAAGATCAATTGGTTATTTAGCTCTGCTTGCTTAGCACGCACAACCATCTGGTTTCAAGTCGCAAGATCCACGAGCGAAAGAAATGCACACTCTATCATCAACAAATCCATAAACGATTCAATTGATGAAGCAGTTGTCTCCTCGAAGAATCACATGACAATGAGTTTTCAGTAAAGGGATCAATAAAGTGGTAAGTTCTCGCGACCTCTAGCTTTACTGCTACTCGGACTTCTGATTCTATTACTTGCTATGATTTCTGATTCTATTACTTGCTATGATATCCGACACAAAATCCACGACAGTATCAAAAACACATATTACACACATACTCGAGGCCAACACACGGTTAGGTACACGAGAACATATCAATTTATTGTTCAAACAATGTTCACGGAACGAACTACGGTCCGTGTTCCTTTGGAATCCAAAAAACAAAAATCCTAGAAGATAGGATTTTTGATTTGGGAAACGACCTTGCATTTAGTGTTAGCATGCCAATCCATATGTTGGGACTCATCATCATATTGGAACATGGTCAAGTGCAAGATTTGCTACTAGCAAAATATCTTCAATAACTCGTAGACTAATCTAGAAACTTTAATCACTCGTTGCTGCAATTAAATTTATTTTTGAAATCAACTATGATAAAGATTTAGACAAAATGAGGATAAATGACATTAATATCTTTAAGCTAGTCATCTTCAAATTTAGCTCTCATGTTACATTACAAAATAAAATTGGAAAATTTTTTATATAATAATGTTTTAATCTTTAGCTATAAAGATATGTTACAAATTTCTCAAGAAAAGATAGAGATTAGTAGTATAAAATTAATGTTGATAAATTTGAACACTATTTAGATAGTGGAGTAAATTGAAAAGCTAAGTGAATTTGGTTTCATATATGAAAGAAAATTTGAATTGAATTTTCTTTATTGTAATAATCAATAAATAAAATTTGCTTATATACATACAAATCTCGAAAAACTAAATACTTCCAAAAATAGTTAATATTGAACTTGATTATATACAATGTTAGACAAAAAAATTTAATTTGAACTATATAATATCAATTCTTGTGGCATGTATCTCATGTTGTTTGCAAATAAATAAACGATGTTTGCACTCTGGATGCTGTTGTGTAACTCATGTTGTTTGCCAGTAAATAAAGAATGTTTACACTCTTGGATGCGGTTGATTCTAATATCAATTACCGTCGACTTTTGTTCAGAAAATTGTACAAAACTTTAACTCCTTTAATCTGTTTGGCGCTTTGCAAATAATTTTATCAATTATTTCACCCAATTTACTAAGTATCATTATTCTCATACATTAGCAAGGGAGAAATTTGACATTGATGAGACAAAGTTTAAACAATAACGTCAAGTTATTGTTCATGAGGCAGAAGACAAAGTATCAAGATGAGATCGTGGATACAATAACATCAAATCCAATCAGTATAGTTATACTTCATTACATGCCATATCATCATGTAGAAGAATCATGGTAATAACACTAAAATTGATGACTTGATAATAGAAAAATAACATCTTCATAATTCAAACTTGTCCTTGAATCAAGTGTTGCTTTGCGTACGTATGTATATGACGAAAAAATTTGTAAGCTTGTGAATTTCGTCAATGTGTGATAGCTCAATCAACAATGAACAATAACTATAAAATAACATGAATAATAGAAAGTAATTGAGATGAGATTACAATTGTTTGAAATTCGCAACAAAACATTACGAACAGACAATCAAGACATAATAAGCCATTAATTTGCTCTTAATACATCCACAATTTGTAAGATCCCAATTATGTGATGTGTCATTGTGTAATTACTTTGTACAGCTCCCTCGTATAGCAAGCTAACTAATTTAACTAGGTAGAGTTACATTAATTAGAATTGACTACAAACAGAATTAACTTTCAATATTCCGACATTTGACTGATGTGTCATGTCATCTCTACTACAATGTACTTATTTTCCAAAGTTCCAATACATCGTAAAGCATGATTAACTAAACCTTAACCGAACCACAATGCGCCACGATTAACTGAAACTAAACCAGAACCAAAACATTATGGAGTACACCACGTAATTGTTCATCGCACCACTGTGAAGAACATTCATTGCCCCTGCTCTCTCACAAGCCTTGACAGACCTTGACAGACTTTACTGCAATGACATTCCTCTTACCTCCTCCCGGCCGTCTTGAAACGTGTCCCGCGTCGAGCGTGAGAAATCTCCGTCTGATCACGTTGCTGCCACCGTTTCAACCGACACAAGTGGCAATTATGCATAGACATATTACTACAGCGTAAACCTGGCTGGGATAGGCCTACTGACCACAATTGAGCGAAAATGACATGCCACACTTCTAGTCAAAAGCGTAAATAACCCACAGAGATCAGCCCAGGTCAAAGATGAGGTTCAGAAAGCAGGATGTGCTTTACAACCTCTTATTTAATTGCTCTTTCCTTGCCTCAAAACTCAAAAAGGTAACATCCGAAAGTTGAGGCCCAAGAGCGACCACATTCGCCCCTGGTAATACTCTACCTGTCTTTGAACTATGAACTTTACCGATTATTGGATGAAGGCATCAAACACTATCTGAACTCCAAAACTGGGAGTTGCTAGCTGATTCTCGCGCGTGATGTTTCCTAAAGAGCTGGAAATTAGAGTGGGGGGCTTCGGATGAACAGAATTAATAATCTCGAAACGACCGGAAGGCCACATACTTAAGTTAGACTCTGATGGTTAGACGTGACACGGCGCTTTCCTCTGCCTCGACGACATACCCAGCTCAAATGATTGAGAAACTTTAACTCAATTGATCTTCTATATCTTTCTCGTACGTTTCTGGAGGCAGCGCTACTGTTCTCGACCACATGTGGCAATACATGTGGATTTTCTCAAACCCGATAAAACTAGGGAATACCCTACTGTCAAAAACTCTTGAAGAGTGACAAGGCTGCAGCGGCGTGGACGAAAGCCACACAAGTATCAAGTTGTCTGTGTGGCCCCAACTTCGCAAGGTACAGCAACATTTGAAGGCAAAACTTGGAGCCAAAACTTGATAGACTAACCCGGAAGCTCTCTTCTGTATTCTCTTAAAATGACAGGAACACTGGACGGTGGCACCTGCAAACATAAACATATCGGTAAGAAACAAGTCAACAATACTTGAAACTGAGAACTGATTACGGATATCAAAATATCAACTGTATAAGTCTAGCACCGGAGTGGTATCGCGGAGCCCAAGGATCAGACACGTGAAGAAAACGGTGAGGGGGCAAAGAACGAAACGACAGAAGTAGAAACAAATTTTGATGCACAGTGGCGGTGGGCGGGTGTGGTAGATGCAAAACCCTAAACTAGAGCCAGTAACTTTCCCCAACATAGTAATGGCAAGAGTCACTTGCCATCACGCAGCTGGGTGGCGTCATCAGTGTAAACAATGAGTATGATGAGAAGCCAAAAATACACAATGTTCTTGCTCCAACCACAGGAGGAGCAGATAATCAATATTCATCAAAAGCTGGCCAGTCACTATTTACAACCCAGAGCTATATCCAAAAAGAAAAGAAAAAAACTATCAAAGCATACTACAAAGACAACGCAGTGTAATAGTCTGCAACAGGACTTGCGATTTTTATTAACTCAGCAGAAAAAACGAAAGTTTCTCCATACCATGCCAAGCTCTGTAATTACCATCGCCACGTAATCCGAAGGAGTTGCATCGTACCTGTGAAACGAATGATATGTCAATACCGTGAAACGAATCCATTTGTCCATTATTCGCAAATCAACTCAAGCATCCATATATTGACTACATGGCCTTCCGCAAAGCAAGGGAATTCGATGAAGAATTAAATCTACTAAATGAAAGGTTCCCAAGGTTCGTTCCGACAGAAAACGAAGGCCAACCTACAATCGCAGACAACTTACGTCAAATTTAGCAGCTGCAGGTGCTTGTCTTCCGGACTCCATCCTTCAAGATCCGTCAAGTCTCTTCTTCCCCATACTTTCACAAGAGCATCAGGATTTCCTGCAACAGATCCAGAGCTTGAGACTGTAAGTTGCTTCTACATATCAGAATCCTTTTGAATATACTAAATACATATCACTCAGATTAGTCCCTCGACACGAACCAGATCACATAATGTAGGGTCCTTGGATCACGGTATGAGGTATTCACTAATGCTACTTGACACAAATCATTAAGGCCAGTCCAAGGGAGAAAGATAGACACAGTCAATAGTTCGACGTCACATATCTTGGTGGTAGAAGAAAAAAAGTTCTTACCTAGTTCATTTGCAGTGATAGAGTCCAGTTGGACCCTTTCATGAAACTTGTAAGTTTCGCAGCAGATCATGACGGGAACACTAAAAGCATGTGCGACCATTGCAACACTCGCTGTTCCAACTCTTGAGTAGACCGTTCCGTTAGCCAAGACAGATGCGGCACCGAGAAATACTCGCGTCACTTCTTGCATGATGTACGACATAGCGTTGATGTAAGTGTATGTGCAGTCAAGCCCCTCGGAGAGGAGCCTCTTCAAAAGTCTTTTACCTTCTAACTTCGGTCTTGAGTCGACGACAACAACTCTGAACTTCTTTCCCATCTCGTGTGCTTTGAGAAGAATCATCTCAACTACGCACGATGACCCATAGGTAAGACAGACATCACCGTCTCGAATTTTCTGGACTGCATGTTTGACAATTTCCTTGTCCGCGTACAAAATTTTCTCCTGAATAAAGCGGTCGATTTCCGCAATGAGTGATGCTTTTGCCTCAGCCTCTGACAACTCTTCTGCAAGGTTAACTACCCTCGTTTTCAAGAACTTGATCGCATTTCCCATACTGATAGCCAAGGGCCTGCAAGTGTTCAGAAACGACACATGACTGTTGATCTTCTGTGTCAAATCTCGAACAAAAATCTTTTCCGGCGGGGTGCTGTAATCCTGGATCATTTCTCGAAAGGCCATCAACATTGCCACGCACCGTGCATTTCCCCCAACCAAATCTCCAGTAAGATATTGAAGGCCGACCTGAATTGAATCGAGACAAAAAGACGGGACCCATAAGCGGGCAATGCATGGCAAGGCAGTCCAGATAAGCTGTGGTGTACAACCGTGGCACCAGTTGTGTCCTACACATGCATATATAATACATTTTCCGGCAGGGTTCTGGTAACACATTGTTCTTAAACCAACAATGTATTCCATGCAGTTATTCATTGAGCAATAGAGATCCTCGACTTTTCGCTTGCAAAACACAATTCACGTGTTGACCCATACCTTGTATATGGCTGGGTGGGGATGCATAGATTCGTCTTGGAAAAACTTGGATTCAAGAGAGGGAAGTTGAGTCCCATGGACAAACTGCGGGAGATGTCTGAAGAGCTCCACCCTGTTTTTCGTCTCAGTTTGCTCCACCAGGGAACGCTTCTTGGCCTTGGCGACTCGTTCCGCATCATCAAATTGCATCCGAGGGGCTGGTACATCCTTCTTCTTTTCTTTCTCCTGCCCTTTGTCTGCTGGCTTCCCACTTGAAGAAGTTCTCCTTTCCGCACTATTAGTTTTCTGATGTGTACCCTTGGAGGCCTTGGAATCCTTCTGACTTGCTCCTGTGCCACCAACGTCGCCTTTTGTTGGCTTGCTTCCACCTGCAAGATCAAAAAAAATATTATTACACGTCTTGTCTTAACTCCAATCACGATCCTTATACAGCCATATTGGGTGGATCCCTAGGTTTTACGTTTGTTCGTTTGCTCTCCGTTTCTGTTAGTACGTCCAGGGTTAGCGCCTGTAATGTTATGAGACATCGCAAACTCGTAAACTTAATGGGCTCATCTCCGACTCAATAGGGAGCTTACACTCTCTTACGATTCACAACCTCAGTCACAACTCACTCTTCGGAGCCTTTCCTTCGACAATCGGAACTCTGAAGAACCTCACCATTCTGTATCTGACAGGCAACATAGAGCTCACAGGTTCCATTGCGAATAGTATCTTTGAGTTGGGTGGCTGCACCCAACTCAAAGATTTTCAGATTGGCTTAACGTATATTTCTGGGCCCATTCCTTCCACTCTCGGGAATTGTCAGCAGCTCCAGACGCTGCGGGTTTTTCCAATGTTGCTTCAGGTGGTCCAATCCCGAGCAACTTCAGTCTTCTCCAAAGCTTGAAGGTGCTGGACCTGGACAACAACACCTTGACTGGAGCCTTACCTGCTGATCTGGGACGTCTACAGGTGCTTGATCTCATGAATAATAAACTGGGCGGCGAGATTCCCACGCAGCTATCACAGTTGAGTTCGTTGCTAGATCTATCACTTGATTTCAATGAGCTCACCGGACCAATACCTGAGCAACTACGCCTGCTTTCCAACCTGAGAGTACTGAACTCCGACTGTATGGACTCTTGACATGCTAAGCCTTGGCCGAATGAATAAGAAACTATGAGACAGAAATCCCAGCCAGCCCTCTAAATAATCTTAAAGTTGGTAGCGCCTGCCGCAGTCTAGAGTAACACAGCAAAGAGAAAGCGAGTAGCCAGTTTGTACTCTCGCGCTTCGACAGTCAAACGCATCCTTGCAATTCAAGCGTTATACTTAACCGGCTACGTGACCAAAATTCAAGTTCCAAACAGGGATCATTAATCTCAACCCCTAGACATGGAGACGCCTGCAACATGAACACTGCATCGCACACAGAATTGGACGTCTGCCCACAACACGGTTGTCTACACTAACTTTGGCAGATGAGAGGCATACTACGTAAACACCTCGCTCAGCTGGTGAGTAGGGAAATGCTCTCGAGATTTCCTCAGTTTCAATACACATACCAGACTCTTCGGCTGCTTTCTTCGCAGCACGCTGTGCTTCTTGGGCGGCTCTCCTTTCGGCCTTAGATGTTCTCTCCTTCAAACTCTTGGTCTTCCCCTCCTTGGCCTTCTCATCTAAACCAACTGAAAGACAGACGAGGCAGCTGGTCAGGAAACGGATGAATTCCTGGACATCGTCACCAGCTTCTCGTTGATCGAATCCGACACATGTGGCTGATATTGGTGTGTTGCAGGTTTGATAACAAATTCAATCAGCTACAACGAAGATAAAGATGAAGACGCTAGTCTGTCGTCTATCACTCACCCTTTTGACTTTTGCCTTTATCAGCTTGAACATTCATAGGGGTAAGAGGCGAGCTTCCACCAGGCGGGATATGAAGGGGTGGTGGTGGTCCTTTCTCAGTGATAAGCACAGGAGCAATGGTGCCACTTCCCACTGTAGGATAATCAGAGGTTTCACTTTGGAGTTCAATGAATGTTGCAGATGACCGCAACTGGACAGAAATAACGTACATCATCAAAATTGTGGCACCGTAGAATGACTTACAAGACTTTACAAAGCTGATCAGCACCGAAACAAGGGAGGGATACGAAGACACAGAATAGTCCGAGCATACTCACACTCTCACCATGGCTTCCTGCCTTGCCGCTCGAGGGAGTGTTAGAGCTACCGAGCACAGAATCGGCCGGATTGTAGCTACCTAGAGGCAAATTGACGTCCACGGTGGGATGCCTTCTGGAAGTGGGAGACGGCACAGGCATGGGTGCAGCTTTCGCAGGAGCAACAGAGGCCCCGTCGTTGATGCGCACCGGGGGGATTAGCACCGGGGACGGAGAATTGGCACCTTGTTCCAGAGGAATTGCTAAATTAATCAAATCGGTGCCTTCCCCGGGCGTCACAAATCCAACCTGCCTAACCTTCGGGTCAATCACCGCACGGCCCCTTCTCTCCATCCCCTCGCCCGCCCCTCGTCCTGCCTCGAAATCTGTGTCGCAAATCCGAAATCCGAAACCCTCGTCGAAAATCGTCCACCCGACAAACCACGGGCTACTACTCGCTGGCCTGGCCTGGCCTCGACCTCTCCAGCACGCACCGACGTCTATCGCACCCCCGATTCCACCATCCTCGGCCTGACCCTCAAACTTCCATTCCGGCAGCACCCAACCAATCCTCCGCCCTGCCCTCCCTCCGTCCTTTCTTCCTTCCTCGTTCCGGCTATGGCCTTCTCGCTCTGGCTAAAACGACGAGAAAAGGACACAATCTGCTCCTGGCGTCCTCCTCGTGCCCTCCTCCGCTCGCTCGCTTCCGACTTCGTCCCTTCCACTTCCTCGTCCACTTCCTCTTCTCTCTTCTCTCTTCTCTCTTCTCTTGCGCTGTTCGTCGTCTCGCTTCTGCTCGCCCTCGCCCTCGCCCGAGCTCACAGATTTGCATGCACGGCTCGACAGTGGCAGAGGTAACAGGCCTTCTCAATCCCAACTGCAGTCACTCCAGAAACGTTCTTTACAGTACCTATGGCAGACCACGCTAAACCAGTGACTGGAGTTAATGAGTTTCAATGGACGGGAACAGATTCGGCTATCAACGAAGGGACAGATGATTCTCGTCCCATGCGCTGCGACACCGAGTGTCGAGCAAGGAAGGTAGTGGAGAGGGATTAGGGTTTAGAAGACAAAACTCTCCAAATGGAGACACAAACACATCGCAGCCCTGCGCCTTGCCTGCCAAGCTTGGACTTGAAGCTAAGCATCGTCTCATGCTATGCGCATATGTTGGTCTTACATTGCTCCACGTGGAGCACAGGTCAATGGTTGTATCCGGTGTATCAAACAGAGCCCTCGAGAGTGTATTCGGTGGGTGGCCACGTGGAAGGGGCCATGACTCTGAGCCGCCCGATGTGGTTCTCAGTCCTCGGTCAGAGCAGGAATAGCGTCGATGGAGTCCCGACGCTCTCACAGTCTTCGTCCTGCCAGTAATCGGTGTTGAAGCTGAGGAAGGGAAATTGAGATGCAATATGGTAAGCAGATTTTATCATTGTGGTGCTTTTGTGGGTAGCCCATCTAACCCTCGGTATTCCCTTACGTTCCGTTGTATTAAACGGAGTTCCTATAAACGGTTTCAAGAAGATCATCTTTTGCAAGCGGTCGCGATAAAAATAACCAATATTCCTAATTAGCAAGGACCCTCGGGGAGGTCCTGAAACCTGGCGGTAGCAGCAGCAGCAGCGGATAACATTACTTCGTGGATCTCACATGTGGCCAGATAATCCTTGTTCGATATACTGTACTTGGGCGACAACTAGGAACACATGGGCCGCCACGTAAGCTCCAGGGCATCAAAGTTGGCGGGAAGACTTTCTACCACCTTGGTACTGGAAACCCAAGAGCAAAAAGGTTATACAATTTACCTTCCAAACACGAGACCGAGAGACAGAAACATAGCCGGCCAACTCCCGGCCCTGGATGCCAACTAGGACAGAATGTCCGCCACGTAAGTAACTAAGTAACCATGTAAGTCTGTAGTCGACAGACCTGGTATGTTGACCACAGTCATGTATTAGACAAAGTGCAATGTTTTTCTCTTGCAACCGTTACGGTGACGTTTTACCTTCTGAGTAAACTCTTGCTTTGGAATGATACGCATGATCTTCATAGTGGATACAATTGGCTTCTTTCAAAAGCATCTTTCTTCCGAAGAGAAAATGGAGTTCAATGCAGTGGGTATTCTCAAGACATTTTTTCCATTAGCTTAAAGAAGTGAAAACAAATTCCAATTCTGCGAAGCTAGCTGAGCTATGTGATTTACATCAAACTCCCTTCTAAGTTATACACCGATACCAAATGATCTTGAATCCCTCCGTGAAATTGTTACGGGTACATAACATATAGCTGGAAAACAACAATTGAAGTTCCATGGGACACAATCAAGTTTGGGGTAGTTTTTACAAGATTTAAACGAAAGTTTCATTTCAACGTACTGTAGTAACGTAAACACCACTGAGGCACGTTGCTGACTGAAGTGTATGATTTATGTGAAGATTTAAAACTTGAAACATCTCATTCTCTTTGATCACTTACGAACAAGTAAAAATGTAATCTCATTTCAAGAACGTACTCATTTCAAATTACTTTTGGCGCTGCCTCACCACTTTCATCCTCTCGATAAATGTTTCATTTTAAGCTTGAAGCTCGTACCAAGAAATATGAATATGTACTGCATATCCCATTGATGTTTGACAAGATACATCAAAGTGGTCGGAATCCACCTTCTCCACAAATGCGACAGTAGTGAGCAACGACAATGAAGTTCTCGAAGAGTCGAACTGTCTCATTATGAGAATGTGAAACCCAAGGGAATGACATATTTGTTGCAAAGAAAGAAGGAATGCACAGCCATAGCACCGTCAAGCTTGTCAAAACAAAACAGTTGACATAACAGCGGCCGAGGGAACTCAAATAAAGGAAGGTGATTTAGCTCATTAACTCAGTAGAGTGCAGTTTTTCCTCTCTTCTTGAGACGGAAATTTTCTGAAATCTGCAGCTCTGGGCTCACTTTACCTCCTCCTCTGTCTCCAGAAGGTGCATTGCCTGGACGGAGGCAAGCAGTTGCGAAGAAATCCGTGGAGCGATGTCGCAGCTGTTAGCCGTAGATTGCTCTGCGGAACACATTGCAAGCATTGCCCCCGAGAATGTCTAGCGGCTGAAGCTGTAGTGAATTATCGTGGCATTTGGTGAGGATGGCCGATTTCTCTACATCCACGCACTGTCATCATTGGATTTTGCAGCGTTCAACTCTGGTGAGTAAGTCGACTGTTTGACCGACCGTCTGAATGTTTTTGAGAAAGTACATCGTTCCTCTGCTAGGGCAAGCCATCGACATGTATAAGGAGGATAAGGATATTTCGGCCTCTGTGGCGAATGCTCAGAGGAATGTGAGGCGATTGGCCTAATCGAATGGACTCGTTTTATTCATGCAAGTGGGCAGGAGAGATGTAGATGTTTATCATGTACTTTACACGGCCTTAGCATTGATGGAGACAAGGAATTATGTTACCGACCGCTTGGTAGAGGTCACTGAAGTTACAAATCAAAGTTTTTCTATCGAAAGTATTCACCTCCACATTTGCACATGTCGAAAGCGACAAGTAGCTGAAACAATAAGCATTACTGACTGACAGCTTCACAATTTTTAAGATTCAGCTGTGGACATTCGAAAGTGATATTTGACCATATTTGTTTCCCCACGTCTGTTCTGTATCCTCCGTTCAATTGCGTCTCATTTTCGAAGACAAACTTATACACTAGTTTCAATTTTCTCCAGGTTGACAAGTTATTTACTACCAATCAAAGGGCACAAGAAGCTCTAATCAAGGTAAATATTCAATTCAAGCCGTTTTCTTTGCCTGGAAGTAGCTAAAGGAGAACAGACGTCTACAAGCTGCACGCAAACCTTGTATGACTGTGATATATTTCTGGCTTCTAGGGTGTGCGATTGGTGTAATTCGGAGATCATGCAAAATATAACTTAATTCTTGTAAAGATTTTGCAGTCATTTTCATGATTTTGAATATTCCGCCGTTGACGTTTACTGTGTAGTATGGTGCCACCCGAGTTGACGTTCAGCCGGACGGATCTTTGGCTTATCCGGAGAACCTTGAAGTGGAGGCTGGTGAGCTGAACTAGTGCTATTTTGTTAACTTTTTAGCAGTACAAGTGTTCACTGGATTTAGTGGAACTGTAACTGTTACTATTGTAACAATTGTTGTTGCACTTGAATATCGAAGCTTTATGCAGCATCTATTCAAATATGTATAAATTTTCTGCAAGAACGATGTTTATATCAAGACTCATAATTACCTGTACAATCGTCCATAGTTGCAACTCTTTGTTTAAGATAACAGTATCATGTTAATGGCAAAGGGATACCGTGACCATTGAGTCTGACAGAGACTGTGTATGCAGCAAATGGAAAGAGAGGCCCGACTCCTGAACACCTGACTGTGGAGGACGAATTGATGATACGCAAATTCTATGAGCAGAAAATTCAACAAGTGTGTCAAGCATTTTCTTTCCCCAACAAAATTCAGGTTTGCAAAATACGTATTTTTTTATGTTGCTTTTATTTTTCAACTTCAGTTGTCACTCACTTCACCCTGCTAATCATGTCTTTTGTTTTATAATGTCTTTGAAGGCCACAGCAATTTTGTACTTCAAGCGCTTTTATTTGAATTGGTCTGTTATGGAGCATGATCCAAAACATATTATGTGAGTGAAGCCAAGATCTCTCTTTTTGGCTTCAGCTGTACTAGATTTCACAACAGGTTCCTCTTTCTATTATTCACACTGTCCATTTTTATAATCCTTGTTAGTTTAGCTCTTTGTACATCCTTCTTTCCTTCGTCATTCAGATTCCTCATAGAGACAATATAGAGACATGACGTCTTGGAATTGTTCTGGAGTGTACAGGCTTACGTGCATTTACCTTTCATGTAAAGTTGAAGAGTTTCACGTATCGGCGGAGGAGCTAGGCAAGGGTATCCAGCAAGATCCGCAAGTGGTCTTGAAAAATGAAATGACGGTTCTACAAGTGAGTCTCGTGGCCACACATCCAAGCAAAGAGCAAATTTGAACAGAACTTTCTCCATGTCCATCAAAGTGTGTCTCTAACTGAAAGAACCTCCTCCTTTGAGTTCATATATATTATCGCCAATGATGGGGGTATATGTTCTTGATCTGCAGCCGAAACGTAAACAGCGAGAGGTGGTCATGTCACAAACTTTTATGTTATTACTAACGATTATCGTTTTCGATGATGTCCTCTACTGAACTGCAGTGTCTGAACTTCGAACTTATCGTTTACGCGCCGTACAGATCCTTGGATGGTTACATTTTTGATCTGGAGGTCTGTATTGACAACGTAAAGCTCAAATTTCAAATTTCTATATACTGTATCCAGGATTCTCTGCACATTTGAGTTGTGTGTTGGGGAGTCATCTTTTCAGTATCTAAATTGTCAATGTAGGACATGCCCAACCAAATCTGAAATGTCATTTTTCACATGTAGAATTCTGTTCAAATGATGGGTGCGGTAGCGGTGAAAAATGTCCAGGTACGTGTGCCAACTCTCACATTGTCTTGTCTTACTGTTCAATACTTAATGGAAAACCGTCATTTGTCCCCTTTAGGAGATGGTATTGTTGGTGACTTTGAGTTCTATCAAATTTTGCATTCTGATAGCCAGTGGACCAGAATAAAAGCAGTGCATCCTTATTTCTCGTCTGACTGGATAGTACTTATGACAATGGCATGCTGAGAATATAAGCATTTGCTAATCAAGTGTATGTTCAATGTCAGGCATCCTAGGGTCCTTTCATTTATGCCCTCTGTCAAGCAAAAGAAATATTTTTTTAGGGGTCTTCGCTCATGTTGTGACCTTGTACAGCTGAGGAAAATTATGAGATTCAAACTTTTTGGAATGACTTGATTGAAACATACATTGTCGCTAACAGGAACTTCGGGAGTCTGCGATCTTTGAGATTGATGCTATGATGTTAACGGACGCTCCACTTTTATTTCCTCCTGGGCAGGTAGGTTTATGGCCTCTTGAGATTTCTGGCTTTCCCACTATCCTTCTTCTCTTCAGCTTGAAGAGACTTGAAGTTTAAACTGCCCATTTTTTTTGTTTGTAAACGTTTTGAATATCGATATGTTTCATGTGGCAATCTTGAGAGTCATGTTACTGAATAATCAAATATTTATTCAACCACTTTGTGTTTCTCGCCATCTGTAGCTAGCTATGGCCGCATTACGAAGGGCAAATCGAGATGACAAGAAAGTGGACCTTGAAAGGTGCTGTCTGAAAACCATTGCTCAAAGTTGTGTTTCATTCTGACCTCTAAGTATCTTGACCGCTACAGTTTCTTCTTGGTGAACTCAGCTCTTTATATTTCTTACCCAAGTGCATCTCACTGCAGACGCATACCCTTCGCCTGGCAACTAGATACATGTTCTTCAGGATTTTAGGTCACAAGGCTGTGATTTCTAATATTGCCCTCTTTAGAATTAGTGATTGTTGACGAATTGTCATGTTGAGCCTCAGTCAAGCTTTAGCATAGAAAAGTTCATTGTCTGGCTGTTTTTGTTTCACTTACTTTTTGCAATTGAACAGATATATGAAAGGTATAGTAGATCGTCTAGCGACCAAACATACGTTGTCAGAACTGGACACTGCGATGGACGCTATCGATGTGGCGGTGAGTGAATTGCAGACGACATGAACGTTTAATTGTTACATTTGAGTCCTCACTTTTTTAGACTATCCACTCTCCCGTGTTTATACTGATCATGTCAGAATATCGGAAACTATCAAACGCAGGTGGGGGAGTCTATTCACGTTGTTGAAGCAGATGTGAGACGTATAGATCGCAAGTTGAAGATATGTAGGAATCCCGGTCTTCAAGATGAGTAAGTGACATCCGATTTTGCTTTTGTAATCGATTCTGAAGGACACCAGCTATAAGATATTGTTCTTGTATCTCCTTGAGTGCTTACTACTTCAGTTAGTAAATGTTGTTGTCTATTAAGAAGCCCAATTCCTTTAAGTTATCATTGTAGTTTGTTCTCGTTGCTTCTTGCCTTTACATCAGTCCAGGTTGAGGTCAGTTTTGAATGAAGGATATCGTGTGGTATATCGGAAAATAGATTATGTCTCTGATCAAAAGATGTTGCTGTCTTACGATGCTACATTGAATGGTATGCAGAACCAAGAAACGAGAAAGAAAAGGAAAACAAAAGCAGAAGAGGCCCTTACAAGAAGGGGCACCACCTATGGACCCCAACCCCATGTAGGTCTTTTTTACTTTTTCTTTGCTAGATGAAAGGACCCGTTTCAACTATTTGACAATTATGTGCGTAGTAGTTGCAGGTAGTTGTAGTTTTAATTGGTTTTTCTATCTCATTGTAAGAACTGGCCTGATGTCAAGCCACTGGACTACTCGAGGACTTGCTAACCTCTAATTTAGAAGCAAATCTTTATCCCTCTGAGCGTATGCTCCTTCTGCCATAAAGTGGTTATAATTTGAGCTGTACTCCTGTTGAAGATATAATTCTACGATATATGTAATTATATTCTTGCCTGATGAATTGATGTAATTCAAACAGTTGTGTAGTCCTCGGCGTCGCTTCCCAGATAGTGGACTTCTGTGAATGTTCATAAAAACAATTGACTGTTAGGAGGTTAATCAGGTGTTGTATTCGCGCAGGGACACGACTAATCACGGAGTGAAAAGAAGACATAGTGAACCGGAAGGAATTTTTTAGGCTGGAAAAGGAATCATGTAATGCTTGTTGAAGAATGGAGTAAATCTCACAGCCAACAAAGGTATCAGTTTGACCTTTAGCCTCTCCCTGCTATCATCTCACCTACAGGCTCCTTATATTGGTGCCCATGATTACGAGTTCTGTCAGGGCATGTTGTTGTGATCGAAGTTTTGTGTTTGTGGAGCTGAAGTAACTCGAGTGGGATTCTTGCTAGTAATGAATCAATTTATTGTAGAGTCGATATTGATCTCTCTCATATGGTTCGGACATTGAAGACCTTCCTCTCGTACCATCCCTAATGGTTCAGGAGGTAGACATATTGACATTGTAGTTCTCTATAAGGTTTATATAAACCTAAGTTCATCAGGCCATCAGATCGAAGAGAATGTGAAGAACAGTCTAAATATGTCTCTTTCATTCCAAGAATATGTACGGTCGTACTCATGGTTTTTCATACTTCAGTCTAGCAATCAGTCAACCTCATCCATACAGACGCATGTGGCAATCTTGAAGTTGCAATTATGGTTTCTGCTCAGTAAGAATTAGACGTCACATATCAAGAGAGGTACGATTGATTTATATCTAATGATATAGAGAAGAAGAACGATTGAATCCCCCTTCGAGCATTACATCAGTTGACGTCAGAAACTGTATGGTATCTTACTTTGGGTTTCTTGTTGCAGGTGCAAACCTTTTGTTGGGAAATCTTGTCGTCTTACAGTAATACATGTAAATAGTCAATATTCTGTCATGTAGTGTACTCACGCATGCAGGAGGCGCTTTAACCCTGTGATGGTCTACTACCACAGCAACTACACGTCTATCTACATATTTGTAGGTCATAAATCGCACCTGGCAACGGGTCAGATTGGCCGATATGATTGCTGTTCATCCATCACGAGAACGATAGGACCCATCTTTGAAGAAGCCTTTTGGTAGTCAACCCAGTTTTGTAGGATCTAGTCGAGGAATATTTTACCAGTAATGTAGATTAGCTTCTTCCTGTTATTTAGCATTTTATTGCTTGGCCAGGTGGCTGACAATTTGGACACTCTAGCTGCAGAGCAAAGCGTAGAGCTTCATTGTTCGAGAAGTCCATCAGTGGTACAACCCTGTACCGCAATTTTCCATGCTGCGTGATTCTCATCTGTACTGGAGTAATCTCTCATTTTCACAAGTCGTTGTGAATAAAGTTGTGAATAAACTATAGCCCAAACAATATTTCTGTCCATGTCACTTCGACAACAGTGATCATTGGGACGACCACCAAAGTCATCATATCGTCACCCCGCTGGTCGCATGTTCCATCACTCCGTATAGTTCTAAAGATTTATATGCCAGTGGCTGAAATAAATGTCTGGTGAAAGCAAAGACTTGAGGCAATGTTCATCAGAGAAAGCAGGATCAATCGCAGTGTATGACACTTGGAAAATCGAGCTGGTCCTTTCTAAACTACAATATCATGTTACATACACGTGGCGATGAGCATGTGCACAAGATCGTTTTACGACTCAGTCCGGCCTTGCCTTGGCCTCTCAGTTTCATCCTCATGTACAGGATTCTCCCTACGAGTGATAATATCACTCCCCGCTCTATGTATTTTGGGTGCGTTGTTTTGAATGTTGTTTACACTTATCTATTGTCTACTGTAAAGAGAGAGTTGAGGAACTTCCATGCATGATGAGGATCATGCAGATAGTATACTTCTTGAATTTTAATGATCTCATATGTTTGTCTAACATTGTTGAACTTCTTTACTCCTCTCTAATGTCTCTTGATGAGCTAAACGCTAAAATGAGAAGAAATCCCATGTTGAAGTCCTAGACATTCCTTGTTCAGTAATGTGCACAACTGAGAAAGGAATTTACATGCGTCGACCGAAAGGATGAAAAGGGGTATAATGAATTATATCAACTTTGATGGAGGAAACTATTCTCAAAAAATGTCCAATTTGCAATTTTATGCAAGATCTCATCTCAAACTTTGACTTAAGTTCATCCATATTAAACACAACAGCATCTTCGGTCTTGCGGTTGAGGTTGAGATCATTCACATCATAGAGAATATGATATGAAATGAAATCAACATGCTTGATAAAATCATTGATACAACTTCAGTACGGAAGAAAGTCCTTAAGTCATTTTCATCAAATTTGTCTTGCTTCTCTGATGCCTGATGCATACAACAAACATGCCAAACTAGCCCTGCTCGTACGAGAAAGGAAACCAATGCGATTCTCAGAGTATACTTGATAATTAGCCTACAGCTCATGCTTGAAACTCTGAATCCCATATCGCAAGTAAGACTTGCAAGCCTAACACATCCCCATTTTTAGAATACCCTCGAAACTTAGTCTAGAGTTCGTGTTTGGATAGTATGAGCCGGTAAGAGTAAGTCGTGACATTTTCTCATTGTTAAAGTTGATGAGGCTTGGGGAGGATGAGACTCAGACTAGATCTTGAGAATGTAACTGGCTGCTGGATCATAAGTATATATATCTCTAGTAAGTTACCAACTTAGATAGATATAGATGTCCATTTCTTGGGGTCTTGAATTTTCAACTCGTTTAAAAAAAATTATCTCAAGAAAAGCATTGTTATGTTTGGATCTCATTCAAATAATTGGACTCACTCCATGCGATGTCTGATTTTTTACAAACTGTTGTAAAAATAATTGTAGTTAAGAACTTTACTTTGATATATGTAGCGAATTGACGTTATTCACACGAAAAGAATCACATTATGTCTTATACTATCATATGTTCCTATTACTTATTGACTGTTTTATTTCTACATTAAATTAAAAAAATTTATATTCCATGACATATTTTATCTTTCCTAACTACCTCGTGGTGATTCCCATAAAAATCGAAATCAATGGGAACTAAATTTTCTAGTTCCTCGCAATGACTTCGAAGAAAATATCAGAGGGTCACGATATTTTAGCATGGATAGACGGAATGGACCGTGAGCCTTTTGGCTAACACAATGACTCAACTCACGAGAAAATGACCGGTAGAGGGAGGCCACCGGCTCCACTACTGTAGTGCGGCGGAGGTTTCAATTCATTTCTGGAACTCAGGGTCAGTCCAGCGGTAACTGAAGCCCAGCGGCCTCACGTAAATTTCATTCTGGCCAACATCTGTCACAGGAATACTCGTGGGGACAGCCAATATATGACTGCAGTTAGTAGAGTGTTGCTCTCCTAACCTGAAGACCGAGAACGAAGTGGGTGAGCTGTTTGTCCGAAAAATTGGGAAGTGTCTGACAAGTGGAACTGGAGATGCGTGGCGTCATGAAAACAGGATGACCGACAACAGCCAGAGGAAAACTTGGGACGAGGTCAAGGGTAGGAGGAGTGTGCGAATCATAAGGACAAGAATTTAGGCACTATGGAACCAAGTATGTAACGTCGAATGAATGCCTCCGATCCTGGATGATTCTCAGTATGTAGATTCAGGCGAGGTGACCTGCAGAGGCAATGGTAGATCCCTGTTTTTTCTCTTCATGATAAAGCTCAACAAGAATAAGTACCTCTGCCAAGAAAAGTATAAGACGGGCATAACCTCTCATTGGATTGCAGCGTGCTGATCAGTACCTCTAGGTGTTACTAGATCCGTGCGATCTAATCGCCTCTAAGCTATTCACACTGTCTTTCTTTGGGGATCTGCAGCATCATAACGAATGAGCATCAAGCAGAACGAATCGAGAGAGAATTCCTTCCGACTGTATACCTCGGGCAGTGGCTAAGGATCAGATCGGGATGTTGAGACTACGTTGATATTCCAATTCGACTCTAGCAGCATCCATGAAATAGGCGCATACTTGACACCAGTCTCAACTCTGTACTTACCAGGATTGTATTCGTGGTGTGTGCATTTGAGTTATCGGTTGCTACCAACTGTTCAGAGCTCACAGACTCAATTTTCATTTCCAATTGGCAACGTATGATTACAACTAATAGATTTACTAATCAGCGCACCAGAAAAATTCCGAAGACCATAGAATATTCTTTAGAAGATCCACTCCCTCGAGATTGTTCCCAGGATGCTGTAAAGCTGTCTACCGTATTTTATGTATGTAATTGCCGCATCCTACGAAGTTTCTTCACATGAGTGAGGCCATTTCCACAAACTCTGGAACCCAAAACTCCATCGTCCAATGCACAGCGTATTATAGTACAAATTACGAGTTTCGACCCTACGATGAAGTCCTTTACAAGGTACAGCTCTCTAATACTCAAATCAAGGTCCCGGAATCCCAGTTTCTTAAGCAAGATTGGTATACTGCTTGATGATGGCCATACAAGAAGAGCGGTAACTGGAGCCAAAAAGATTGTAGTGATTGAGATAATGATACAGTCTGTACAGGTCTCGTCTTTGCTCGAACCCCGGCTGTTTGGGAATGACCTCGAAATAGGCATTGTAGAAGCCCGCTCCGAATCCAGCGCACCAGGACATGCCAAACTCGGCCTCATTATGGCCGTAGTAGCAAGCGGGATCCAGAATCACCGGAGCTCCTCGTTCGTCTGCAGCAATGTTACCGCTCCACAGATCGCCGTGAAGCAGACACGGTCTGATATCGGAAACGTCACGAAACAATGAAGGAATTTTATCCACTAGCCTCTGACCCTTCTCGGCAATGTCGTAATCGCGATACTGCTTCTCGGCGAGCTGTAACTGGTACCGAAGCCTCTGCTCCTGGAAAAAGGCCACCCAATCACTCGTCCACGGATTCGGCTGCGGAGTGCTTCCAATTGTGTTGTCCATGTCGAATCCGAATCCGCGCTCGCTCGAGCTCGCCTTGTGCATCTCGGCGAGCTGGCGGCCCAGCTCCGCCTGCCCGCCTCGACTGGCGCCCATGTTGATGAACTCCATGATTATGTACGACCCGCGGCCCGGCAACGGTCCGACCTTGAGCGGCCTCGGGACGCGGATGGTGGACGTTGCGAACATGGCCTCCAGGCCTGCAGCCTCGGCCTCGAACATCGCGGGCCCGACGTCCCTGTTCGTCTTGACGAAGAACGTCCCGGAGTCCGTCTCGTAGCGCAGCGCCGTGTTGATGCACCCTCCCCCGACGGGACTGATGCGCGTAATCTTCGAAGCTCCGCCTTGCCCGCAGATCCAGTCCCGAATCGGATCACTTCCCATCATCGTCCGCACGGCCCTCCTCCTCCTCTCGCACGAGCCGCTCTTCGATTTGGGCCACGCCTTCAGCTCGTGCCGACCGGGAGTCCACGCGGGGCAGCCAAGCGCCACAGCCACGATCACCATTCTCTCTCTCTCCCTCCCTCCCTCCCTCGCAATGCTGCCACTCTGCAATCCTCGCGAACTGCCAAATTTTCCCGACTGTCAAACCTTTTGCACACTCGATCAAGAGTCCCTGTCCGACCGACGAGCGAGCCCTCGGAGCGCCCCGCCACGACGACGACTCTGTGGCTCAAGCAGCGAGCGCGAAGAGCCTTGCGCCTCGCTTTCTGTCGTCCGTGCTCGACGAGGAGCGAGCGAGCGAGCGGGCGGGCGAGCGCTCTTCCGCAAAAATGGCTGCGTCGAATCGGAAAGCGATTGTGTCGCTGGAGGACGTGGATGACCGCCAAAGGATTTGAATGACTGACGCGGCATCAAGCGCTGAGGAGTTGGATGTGAATCTTTCGGGAGGGCTGGTGATTTGACCGGCATGGCATGTACAAGTGGCATTAGCGGGGCCACCTCATCCAGTTGGATTCCAGATTCTGACCAACATGGCTCACGTGGATGGTGTACTGTACTGTGCAGGCTTTCAAGTTGAGATCTTTGAATAATAGACCGTGTGCGAGTTCTCAAATTGTACTCTGAGAAGGCGCCTTGTACATAAGTCTATTCAATTTCCGAGAATCTGAAATTCCTTAATACGATCCATGTTTTAAAAAACGAAACCTTTCAGTTTCAGTTACATGCTTCCCTTATTCCTAATGGAATTGATAATGCTCTTGAACTATTGAATCTTCAAAATAAAAACTTGCCAGTACATATATTGTTTAAGAATCCATACTTCTCAAAAATCTTCATAAATTTGATTACTCATACAAAGATCGAGAATTTCGTTTTTGCGTATGCACACATTTTCAGCGTGAATAGTAACATTCCCACCAAAAAAAAATGTTTAATGGTAAAGAACAAATTAATTGAAATAACATATGATATCATAATGTGCAGATGTTTCATGAAAAACATCGTTTTTTAATATATATATTATTCTGTTTTCATAACTCCTTCCCAGAAATTGTTGCTGAAAGCAAAAAATATGATTCAAACAAAAACGATGACTCCGAAAATTTCTACCTCATTTGTAAACCAAGTGATCTCAAAACATAAATGAAACCTGGAATGCAAGATTGATTTCATTCTTATCACCCAAAAAATGTGCATCTATAATGATTCCATACCTCATATTCATTCATATATTGTTCTCAGATATTGTTTATAATCCATAACAAGTAATCAATCAAACTCAATTTGTATTAATATAAGCAGTAAATTGTTCACGTCCATGTATATACGATGATCAACCCATAATTAAAAAAACCAAAAATAATGGTTAGCATGGAACAAGAGTATAAAAAAGTACAAAGTCTCTTCGTAAAGTCCATTATTATATCCATATAAGCAAGTAATTTTTTTCGAAACTTTATTATGTTGCAACATAGTAATTCACAACTATATCTAAGAGGTAAATCGCTCAATAAATCAAGCATCTTAGTCACAGTTTTCTTTATTTATAAACTTACAAATAAAGCATACGTCCATTAGGCTCCTGTAAATTTAAATAGCATTCAACAGCTGTACATACTTACAATAACTGTCAAAAATCTAAAACCCGAAAATCGTAAAGAAAGATTTTTCAGAACCATATTTATGATGGCAGTGTGACAATATCCAAGTTGTAACATACAGTAATGAATTTTTAATGAAAAATTTTGTATAGAAAAGCTCAAATGAACACAATATACAAATATAATATAGTGTAAAAAATCATAACTAAAATAAATTCTATATAATCTTATTTTATATATTCCAAAAATATTTAAATCAAATGTAATACTTATATTATTATAATAACAATACATCTATTTAACATGAGTAAAAGATAAAATTTTATTTAAACTGCTTGATTATAAAAGCTGAAAACAAAATTTCAGAATAGTAAGACATTGTGTAAATATTTGAATTTTAAAAAAATCAAAATCAAACAAAGTCACAAGTAAACCTATCAAGCATATAGTTCTATACATAGCAGCACAATAATTGATGTCATTATAAACCATACTTTTTTACTTCTTGAGTCTCTTGGTCATCGACTTGGCAATACAGATCTTTTGAAGATGAAAATCTGCTAATTAAAATTTTCTCTAATTTGTTAAGTCGTTTGCTATTCTTCGATTATTTATCACTTGAAGTTTTTATAAGGTTTAAATCTTGCTGTTAATGAATAATTGTATCTCCTTTTGCATTCCTACATTACTCTAGAGTATATTCAACAATACTTGAGACTCACCGTATAAAGCAACAGGTTCAGACTTATTTTCGGTTGATAATATTCTCCCTTATTTTGGTTGATCTGAATGGTGATTTCAATCTCGTCACGCTCTTAAATTTTCTTATTTTCAAAAACTTGCTAAAATAAGTACCATCTCATTATGCCTCATCATGAAAATCATCATGATTAATCTCCCTTTTAATAATAGTTAGGATTTAGATTTTTTTTGATAAGTATGAAAATAGTGAATTCTCTACTTTTTTTAAATAATTTCATTTCATTTTTAGTTCTATCAAAAATTTATTTTACAATATATAACACTTCACATCATTCGAAATAAGAATGGTATGAGGCTTTTATAGATTGTAAAATAAATTCTTTAGAAGGTGGATTCAGCTAACGTCATTTTTTCTTACATACAAGAGAGTACGGATTACATTCAAAGAACGCTATACCATTTTAATCTGCTTTTACTCAAAGATCAACTCTAATGAAGTCATATAATCAATCACATAAGAAGAACAAACAATTCAAATAAATTATTGTGTTCACAATTTTCTATTTAGAACTTGTGTGATGAATTCATTTGGCAAAACATATTATTGGATTATTATAATAATGTTCAATTGAGTCACTACAAATATTAAAATTTATTTTTAAACAAAATAAAATATTAATTAAAAAAAGTTATCTTTCATCTTCAATTGTTGATGAATATATAATCGATTTTTATTGCATATTTTTAAATTTTGTGTGATTATAAAATTAAATTTTGATCTTGCATTTTTTTTGAATCACAAATTTGATAATTATCAAGTTGAAAGTTAATAACACATATGTGTTACAATCATGCATGATGAACATATACTTTGATGAGGTAAAAAAAAAATCCCACAAATCAGTATGGTTTAAATGTATAATCTCATTATAATTATATTTAAAACTATTAAAAGCAATTAGACGATGATTTGTAATTATACTATCATAACTTACAATGATACAAAATTTAAATTACTAGGTCTTAATTCAACGAGCATGATTTTTTAATACTTATTCATTCTTTTCATCTACGTGAACAAGTTATAAATGTTGCAAATAATTAATTTTTATTTCAAAATATAGAATCATCAGATTTTTTGCAAGAAATTGTGTCATCCAACATATGTCAATTATCATTATTGGTTTTTTTTAATGATTTTTTCTCTACCGTATATTACATCACCAATTGTTTTCATTGATGATACTATGCATCAAACATATATTAAGATATCTGAATTTCGTTAATTATGTCTACAAACAAACAAGCATTCAATCCAAGTTCAGATCAGAAATAAATCATAGCTGTAGATAACTTGTATTTCATTATGGAAAACTTACAAGGTGGCATGATGACTATTAAAACTTCCAAACTAATTATATTGACCAATTCATCAACTAGATTGACACCTTCAATCTTTACTACTTTGAACTCTTTCATTATAAAATTATATATTGAATATAGTAATGTTATTCTATATAGATGTGCTTGAACCTGCTTTATATCACTTTATTTATTACAACATACGTTATTTTGTAATAAATCAATAATGCAATAATAACATAACATTTCCATAATGTCTCAGTGATAATTTTTAAAAATAAAATACAGTTCTTTAATTTTTTAATTTTTGTATATATCTGCCTTTTTATGCAAAATGGAAATTTGCAAAAAAATATTACATAATGCATCCATCACCAAGTTAAAACGCATTTTTTTAACATACATAATCATCATTCACTAAGCCTAACAAATTTTTTTTAATAAATCATCAAAAAAAAATCGTATCTTTTATTATTGTTGAAATACCAAACAACCCATTTCACAATCTGTCAAATTTTGTTTGTTTTAAATTTTCATATATCTTGATACGTAATTAAATAAACAAGGCTATTGATTATCTGGTCATGAAATATTGATGATATATTAATTTTTCTAAAGCATCAATTTCAACAATTAATTGAAAATGCTTCAATTTGCTAATAACTAACCCAAATTTTTGAAATACACATTAGCTTTTTTTCTTTGGATATACTAAGTCTTTTTTTTTCAAATAATGTGAACAATTGTTTTTTTAAATAGTATTGAATTTAATGAAATTCTTTATTATGAATGACAATCTTATAATTTAAAATTTATTGACACCTCATTGATACATTGTTCAAAAAAAACATGTGATTTATGTATATTATAGTTTAATAAATTTAATGATATTATTATTCATGTCTTCATTAAATAAATAAAATATCACATATACTTAGTTCAAATCTGTATGCTTTTATGATTTCATCAAATTGTGTTCAGATTCCATGTATGAAATCTGAATCTCATTTTGGATTGATTAGCTTTAAAAAAACCTAAAATATATCAGAATTTTTTTATAAATTTTTTAATATTCACACACATCTTAAATATTGATCAATAAATACACAATATAACCTTGCAAAAATTAAGTCTTTGAAAAAATATTGTAAAATATCACCATGAATAGTATTTTTCTAGAAATGAAAACTCCAACATCAACAGAATTCATATGATGATTACCTACAACAAAGTGTTCATTAAACTTTATGTCAATCTTAAGTATGACCAATAACAAACTCATATTGCCAAAAAGTGATGATTGCATAATATTCATATGTTTTATGAATTTTTCATTAGCTATGGTTATCAAACATAAATCATTTGAATTTGAAATCTATTAAAAATGCATTACTCACAAACATTATATTCCTTTAGCATGAAGACATTTTTATATAAATATAGCATTTCAATATAAAATAATCATTTTACCTAATACATTATTTATTTGGAACTTCATTCAAAACTTGTTTGATTTTAGCAGTATAAAAGAGATCAGATTTTTTTATGTATCATGTATAAATCTGACTTTAGTCAAATTATGTTAATTTCTATCAAACATGAAAATGTAGACATATCCAATAGCTTGAATGTTTATCATAATGTATTTGAATTGAACAATTTGATCAAAAAATAAATAAATTACAACATTCAAATATAAGAAATGTCATAAATATAAATATTATATAGAATTTGCACATAAACAACATTCTTTTATGAATTACATATGACATACCCTGAATCTTTATCCATCATCAACCACATCATACTCTTTAGTTTTGAATTTGTGACCTACATCATCTACAAAATATCGTTAGTCCTGATCTTCACATTCTAATCTAACTTATTTCTAGAAGATCATTGTAGAATTCTTAAATTCATTATCTCTA